TGTCACCACGTGAAAAAAGCCTATGAACAGGGTCGTGCGGGAATGGCCCTGGACAAATCTGGGGTTTTCACACCCGACCTGGTCCTGGTCCTGCTGCGAGTCAGTTCATACCCATGGTGGATGGGCAGGTGGCACTGGCAGTGGCACGAGGGTTAAACAGCAGCCCAAGGACTGGTGTGAAGGGAAACACCACCAAATCTGGGTTGTTGCAAGGATCAGAGCCAAGGTCCTTGAGGAAATACTTATGATCCAAGCTCACAGGCACCCACCTTGAACAGGAAATTCCATCCACTAAGGGGTTTTATTTTTATGCAGAACTGATTTTGTCCCTTTGTTTCCCATGGCCTTTGGAAAACTGGAATGCAAGGTGTGTTTCGTTGGCAGTTTGGGGAGAACCGGCCATGACAGGAGCCCACGTCAGTCTGTCAGGCACAGGGTTGGCACGTCTGCGGAGGGGGCCGGTGTTTGTCACACTGGTCACACAGTCCGTGTCTGCAGTGCTGGGGGTCTCTGTGGGCTCGGGACTGGCTGGAGCCCACGGGGACACTGCAGGGGCTGTCACCCAAGCAGCTGCAGTGTCTGAGCCCTCCAGCTCCATCTGGCTGCTGGCGTGTGACAGTGAGAGCAGTGGCCGCTGCTGTTCCCCACCTCACCAGGGTGATGGCTGGGCAGCGCAGGGGCTGTGCCACCACCGTGGGCTCGGGCTGCTGTCTCCTGGCAGATGCCTGGATCATGGGGGCACATGGACACAGAGTGCCCCCCCGGTGGGGCTCCCTGGGGACACACCATCCACTCACCTTAATGAGCACATCGAGCACAGCCAGGCCACAGCAGCGCATGGCCGAGCACCTTGGGGTGCTTGGGTGGTGCCCGAGAGCAGCCATGGCACATTTCAGGAGACAGAAACAGCTCAGTGGGAGCCAGAACGACACCTGCTGTGTGCTTGGCTCTGATCACGGTGGGGTTTCGTGCTCCTTGACATCAGAAGTGGCTCTGGAGAAGCCAGTCTCTGCTGCCAGGTCCCTGAGCCCTCCATCCCACTGCAGTGCTCCGCCTGGGCCAGGCCCCTTCCTCGCGGTGCTCTCGCAGGCTTTCAGAAGGCTTGTCTCTGCTCCGAGCCTTGCCTGCAACACCCAGCACCAAAAGTAAGTGGCTTTCTTTTCCTGGTGTCGCAGGTATGTCGAGAGTACCAGCGTGGGAACTGCAACAGGGGAGAGAACGACTGCCGGTTCGCTCACCCCGCCGACAGCGCCATGATCGACACCAACGACAACACGGTCACCGTCTGCATGGATTACATCAAAGGGAGGTGCTCCCGGGAAAAGTGCAAATATTTTCACCCTCCTGCACACCTGCAAGCCAAGATCAAGGCTGCCCAGTACCAGGTTAACCAAGCTGCAGCTGCCCAAGCAGCAGCGACCGCAGCTGCCATGGTGAGTGTGGGAGCACTTGTGGACGTAGACGTAGATTGAGGAGAGGCAATGGTGGATGTGTGTTTGTCCTTGCTGAGGAGGGTGCGTGTGCCCGGGGACCCCGGTCACTACACGGTGCAATGAGCTTTCTCAGCATGTGGTGCCAGATCTGCTGTGAAGTAGTTCCTGACCATTGAGACGTTTGACTAATTTTGCCTGCTGATGTTCGGAGTACCTGTGTGTACCTCTGTGCGTGCATACGTGTGTGCGTGTCTGTACGTGTGGGCTACTTGTGTCTCTGGTTGGCTGTACGTCCGTGTGTGGGCAGACGCGTATCTGTCCAGCTGCACAGCTAGATAAATCCATGTTCAGTTTCTGTAAGTCCGTGTTTGTAGAGGTGTAGTTTGAAGCGGACTGACCACGTTCCTGCTGTCCCCGTCCCGTGTCCCCGAGGGCTGGCGGTGGCTGTCCCGGGCGCTAGCGCAGGCCTGCAGCTGTAGCAGCCAGACCTGGGCCCCGTGAGGAGCTGGTGCGCTGGCGAGGCGAGGGCAGCACTGGGGGGCTGTGGTGGCAGAGGGTCCCGCCTGTGCTGAGCCCGTGGGTGTGGGAAGCGGAGCACAGTGGGGGCGGCAGGGCCGGCGGGGCGAGGCGGTGGCCGCGGGTCCGGCTGTGCGCGGCCGTGACCCCGCGGCCNNCCGGCGCGGCCCCGGTGGGGCCGGGGGGCGGCCGTGGGCACCCCCTGCTGCCCCGCTGCCCTGCCCGTGGGCCCGTGCATGCCTAGTCTTGTTACCGTTGTACACGGCATCCGGTGATTTGTTTTTATTTGTTTTTTCTCACCTCCCCAAATGCACTGCTGCCCCCATGACGCACCTCTGCTTGCTGTTTATGTTAATGCGCTTGACCCCACTGGCCATTGCCATCATGTGCTCGCTGCCTGCTAATTAAGACTCAGTCGGCTGTCAAATCACTGAAGCGACCCCTCGAGGCAACCTTTGACCTGGTACTATGACCTTTCACCTTTTAGCTTGGCATGTAGCTGTATCGTAGAGTCGAGTTTGGGGTTAATGTGTAGAGATGGAACATCCCGGTTCCCCTCCCCACGTCCCCGGCGCAGGGCGTGCGGGCGGCCGGGCCAGGCTGGGTGCCCTCCCCGCCGCCCCCGCGCCCCGCCGGCCCCTTCCCGTCCCCTCCCGTGTCCCCTGTCCCTGTCCCCTCCCGGGTGCCGGCGCAGGGGCGTTGGCATGGCTTGGTGGCGCGGAGGCGGCCGGGGCCGGCATGCGGCGCGCTCTGCATGCCCGGGCAGCGCTGGGGACTGGGGTGTCACTACGGCCCTGCCCTCCGCTCCAGACGGTGACTATTATTAACATGGCTTCTACGTGTGATCCTCGTGGAGCTAGCAGTGCTGCTTCCCCGAGAGCCTGGCTCCTGGCCCCCCGAAGCTTTCCCTGGCGTGGCACTGATGCCGGTGCCCACAGCGGCTGTCCCGCCGGTCCCTGTGCCGCTGTAGTGGTAGGCAAATAGTGCTCCCTGGAAAGCTGTTCCCTCGCCTTTTATTTGGTAGTTCAGTCCGCTATGCCGCTTGCTTGCTCATGGAGAAACATGGTGCTGCCTGGTTATTTTGCCTTCTACTGATTTTTCTTTTTTCCTTTTTCTCTCTCCTTTTCTCCCTCCCTCCCTCCTTCCCTCCCATCCTCCTCCACACCCCACCCACCCTCTCCCCTTTTTTTTTTTTCTTTTTTGTTACTGTACTTTATTTTTATACCCATCCACCATTCAGGGAATTCCTCAAGCTGTACTTCCCCCCTTACCAAAGAGGCCTGCGCTTGAAAAAACCAATGGTGCCACCGCAGTCTTTAACACTGGTATCTTCCAATACCAGCAAGCTCTTGCCAACATGCAGTTACAGCAGCATACAGCCTTTCTCCCACCAGGTAAGTGCATCTCTGGCACCTTTTCAGGGGCGGGAGCAGGGGGATTTCTGGGAAGAGCACCCTAGGAGGCAGCTGTGGGTTGCTGGTGCAAGCGCGGTGTGTGCTGGAGGCCGCTGGTGCCAGGCACAGGCAGCCCCTCCAGCCAGGGCACAGCAGTGCCCGTGCCCCTGGGCAGAGGAGGGGCTGCCTGTGGCAACGCTGGCTTCTCTCTGCTCCTCGCAGAAGCTGGGCGGGTGTTTTCCAGTCTAACACAAAATCAGCGTCATGCTCTGTCACCCCAAAGCAGAATTTGAAATCTCCTCTCTCCTTCCTCTTTCCCTGGATTAACTGCTCTTCCTTCCACATCCCTCAGCTGTTGTGCTTGTTTCCCTGTAAGACCCCTTGGCCTTGGCAGTGGTGGCTCTGAGTCACACACACAAAGGGGTTTTTCAGTGAGGTTTTAATGGGGTGCAGTGATCCCAGGTGGCACGGGCAGTCTCACAGGTGGAGAATCACAAACCTGTGCAAGAAGTCACAGTTTGGGCCTCCACACTGGTGTCTCAGGGCTGGTCTTGGACTGAATAAAGCCAAGTGCTTGTTCTCAGACAAGAGTCCTGGTGTAACTGGTGAAGAGTTGATGCCTGTACTATGGACCAAGCAGAAATCCTTTTGGAGGACTAGTGATGGGACATAAAGTTGGAATATGTGCTTTGGTTCTGCTGATGGCACTGCATGAGAAATGATCTCCAGTATGTCCTGGGAGCCTCTGCCCTTAGTTACACAGCTGAGGTAGTTTGTTACACCTGAACCCACACTAAAGCAGCACCATCCTTCCAGGAGATGTGCAGAGCTGATAGATCTGTACTCAAAAATGGGAAAGAGTCTGTGAGGACAGCCCTTCATAATGCAGACTGGGAAGAGGAAGAAATACAGCTAATCAGTCTCTACCCAAAAATTTAAAGGATTTTATCCTAAATATCTTTGGCAAGTATGTTCCCAGTGCCCTTTACTATTCTGTCTTGATCTGGCATGCAGCCAACATGTGTACTTTAAATGGTACAAAAATCAGTTTATTGATCTAGTGCATTTTAATAATGCAAAAATGCATTGCAGCCACTGAAAGGTATCAGTAAATGTTGCAAAGCTTGCTGGAGTCAATAGCAAGATGGGTTGGATAAGCTGCAGGTCAGATCCCTAGCCCACATATTAAAATCCATATAAAAATGTGTATGCAGTTGTAGACTCATGGAACCCCTGAGTGGTTTGGGGTGGGAAGGACCTTAAAGACCACCTGATTGCAAACCCTCTGCCATGGGGGGACACCTTCCAATAGACCAGGTTGCTCAGAGCCCCCTCCAGATAGACTCAGAATCCTTCCTAAGAATGTTAAACAATTCACAGATCTCTTTTGGCACAGCATAACCAGTGGAGTCTGTACACATCAAATTTCCAGCTTCCATGAAGGCAGCAAGGGGCTGGATGGTTTCTGGAAACGCTGGAGCTGCCTTTGTACTTCCCCTTCAAACTCAGGGGCTGGGGTTGTGGTTTGTGTGTGCCAGACCCCATTTGCACCTCATCATGGACTGGGGCCTTTCCCATTGGCTCTTGACACACCTTACCTCAGCTCTTCCTCCAGCAGATCACACTGAAACCTCCAGGAGCTTGGCAGTGGTTCTCGAGGCCTCATTAGACCTTTCCTGACCGCTGAAGTTTAGTGTATGTTACACAAGAAAATAAGGGAGTTTTTAGCCTGAGCTATTATGAATTCTCTCTTTATATTTTTCAGATAGCTGCAGTTTGAGCTTTCCAGTAGTCCAGTGCTTTCCAAAAAGTTCGAAAAATGCCTTTGGCACCTTGCCCTTTTCAGTTTGTCCCGCTTCAAATGAGTCGGGATCAGTTCCTGTTTGGGCACAGGCACCTGGACACAGAGTTTCTCCATCTGTCCCTGCGAAGCCACGGAGAGCACAGAGCGTGGGTGCCCCCCAGCTCCACGGCCACGGAGCAGGGCCAGGGCAGCTCAGTGGGATCTGAATTAAAGTGACATTTTTCAGGTTCAGACACCCAAGGTGTAAGTGCTCATTTGTGTTCCTAGTTGCTCCAGGCAGAGTGTGCAGGAGGGCTGGAGGGCAGGACCTACACAGGGTGGGTGTGCCCAGGGTTGGTTCCCTGTGGGCAATCTGGGCAGGACCCTCCTCTCTGCAGGGCACTTCACTCCTCAGTGTTCTCCCACTGATACTCCAGAAAACCTCAGATACCTCTTCTAAATTGTAAGGCATTGTTCTGGCTGGCTGTGTGCCAGGGATGTAGAGCACATCCAGGGAACATCCATGCCTGGGAGTGGACACTGCACTCCAGCACGCCTTAAGTGATTAAATGTTCTTCAGACATTCGTATCACCTCTCTCAAGTGAAGCTCCCTCTGTGCACAGCTCCCCTCTTGAGGTGTCCCCAAAACCGTGGCTGCTGGAAGCTGTCCCCAGACTGAGAGGGGAGTTTAGGGGTGTTGCAAGAAAGAGCCAGGAACATTTGTGCTCCTGAGATAAGGGCAGTTAGTCTGCTGAGTCAGGAGGCTCTGCATGCCTGGGTTTGGTCCCTGGGTCCTGCTGCCAGCTGGGGACACCTCGGCAGACGTGGGTGCCCCTCCTGCTGTGACTGTGCAGAGCTCCAGGTCCTCAGGCCTTCACCTGCCCCATGTCCTGCAGCGACTGGGGGCTGGCTGCAGTGCTCCTGGGGCAGCTGAGGGACATCCTGCCTGTGCTGGGACCGTCCTGTGCCTCAGCTCCCTGCCTCCTCAGGAGCGTGGGTGCAGCTGCTCTGCCCCAGGTGTGTCCCCAGGTGACCAGACTGGCCTTGAGCAGTGAGCTCCTCCAGAGCAGGGGTCGGGTTGGCAGGATGCTCCCAGGAGCTGACTCGTGGTGCAGCTGCAAGGGGCAGGGTTGCAGCTGGCAGCCGAACCCCAGAGCCAGGGAGGAAGGGCTGCAGCTCTCTCTGCATCGTGTTAACCCGTTGTGTATTTGTTCAATTACTGCAGCTTCAGCACCAGAGACTCCCTTGTTCCTGGCTGGGACTCAGTGCCCAGAGGCTTTCCTAAAGCACTTTCCTCCCTGGGGCTGCTGGGCCTGTGCAGAACCACTGCTCTCCCCCAAAGCATTGGGGAGGGGAAGGTCACACACCCCTGCTCACCTCCACAGGAGTGCTTGTGCTGTGTGGAGTGTTGTTCTTAAATAGGCATTATAGATTGGGCAGAAGAAAGAGACTGAGGGGAATAATACAAGGGAGAAAAGAGAAAAAAATAATTAAAACCAATAAACCTAGAATATTTATAGATATAGCTTTATTGTGCTGCAGAAATAATCTGGTTATGAAGTTATGGTCAGTTAAGTTGGAACATCCTCATATTAAAATTCTGCCTTGTGTTGAACAGACAGGCAACATTGAAGGTGAACATTCATTGTTCTTGTGTTCTCACCAGTCAGTCAAAGCTTCTGAAGTTAAGCTGAATGTTAGGATCATAGCAAAAATTGGTTTTATTACTCATAAGAGCCTGTGCAAAACCACTGCTCTCCCCCAAAGCATTGGGGAGGGGAAGGTCACACACCCCCTGCTCACCTCCACAGGAGTGCTTGCGCTGTGTGGAGTGTTGTTCTTAAATAGGCATTATAGATTGGGCAGAAGAAAGAGACTGAGGGGAATAATACAAGGGAGAAAAGAGAAAAAAATAATTAAAACCAATAAACCTAGAATATTTATAGATATAGCTTTATTGTGCTGCAGAAATAATCTGGTTATGAAGTTATGGTCAGTTAAGTTGGAACATCCTCAAATTAAAATTCTGCCTTGTGTTGAACAGACAGGCAACATTGAAGGTGAACATTCATTGTTCTTGTGTTCTCACCAGTCAGTCAAAGCTTCTGAAGTTAAGCTGAATGTTAGGATCATAGCAAAAATTGGTTTTATTACTCATAAGAGGGTCATAAAGTTTAATATCTGTTTGGGAGTTATGCCACCCCAGCAAGCATTCTACTTTCTCCCTCATGTTCATTTGCTTTAATTCCCTTTCAAAAACTGTATGCACTGGTCATAATGTTAATGATGATCATTCAGACTGAAATTTGGAGCTTTTCACTGAAAAGTGTTACAGGGGTGTTTCAGAGTGCTCATAACACCCAGCTCATGTGTAGCAGGCAGATACACCTGTGCATGGAGGGATGGACACTGCAGGGTGCCCAGGGCACGGGGCACTTGTGCAGAGCCACAGCTCAGGGCTTCTTCTCTGAAACCCCACTGATGCCACTGAGAGCCACCAGAGGGACCAAGAAAGCACCTCTGCTTACTGTTTGTACTTTTTAGCCAAACTCTGCTCCATTTTTCAGTCTTGCAAGTGATCCCCTTGGCTTCAGCCGTGATTTGTGCCAGGGTAGGTCAGGAGAGGCACCCTTCCTTTACCCTTTCTTTGCCAGTGTTCTCAGTCTCTTCCATGACCCAGAGGAGTAATTAGGAAACATGATGATGCCCTTGCCTTTGTTGCCTTACAGGTACAGCAGTGACAGAGGATAACCTTGGCCCCAGCAGTAATTAAAGTGGCCTTTTTCCCTGCATAGTTAACTGCTCCTGAGGCTGTGCATCCCCTCCCACGCTTGGCACAGCTGGAGCATTGCCTGTCCCCAGCACAGCCACGGGATGTCACTGGGGCAGCCTTGCCTGGCTGCCTCTGGCAGTCTGCTAGGATATCTTTCCATTTTGACTGCAATCTCATTCCCAGATTTCAGAGTTTATTTCCGTTTCAGCTGTGTCACTCATCATTAGCAGTGTTAATAAATGTTATTTGTTAAATTAAAAAGTAAATAATTTATTAAAAATGGATATTCTGAAGAGATCAGTATATGTTTATTATCCTTGAAGCGGAAATAGAAGATTGTGAGATCAGTCTGGTGGAAGGCATTTTGCTGTGTAACTTAAAGAGAATTGCCAGCTTGGTGATACTTAAAAATTATGCCAGAATGATCCCAAAAACACTTTCCTGCTTCTGGTTCCGGTTGCAGGGCAGAACTCTCCAGGTGTGTGATCTGAAGGGAGTTGGGGCTGTGAGCCCAGGCACCAGCAGCTTAAAATGCATCCTCCAGTGTAGAGCAGAAGGCTGAACAGGGGTTGTGGGGTGTCACTGGGGGCTGCACAGGGCACAGGGATCATTCAGCCACGGCTCTGGGCCACGTGAGGAGCAGCCAGAGTGGGGACAGGCAGGGTCACTGCCCTTCTGTGGCAGCTCCAGGGCTCGGGGCTGCAGCCAAAGTCCTGCCTGACGGGTCACCTGGAGAGGAGAGGAGAGGAGAGGAGAGGAGAGGAGAGGAGAGGAGAGGAGAGGAGAGGAGAGGAGAGGAGAGGAGAGGAGAGGAGAGGAGAGGAGAGGAGAGGAGAGGAGAGGAGAGGAGAGGAGAGGAGAGGAGAGGAGAGGAGAGGAGAGGAGAGGAGAGGAGAGGAGAGGAGAGGAGAGGAGAGGAGAGGAGAGGAGAGGAGAGGAGAGGAGAGGCTCTGTCACCTCCCACTGTCCAACAAGGACAGCAGGGCGTGGTCCCTGGTCCCTGCACTGGGGACCACAGGCACCAGGCAGGGTGAGTTTGAAGCATCTCTTTGACCTGAGAAGAGCAGGGAAAGGACCACGACAAGGCTTGTGTCCAAAGGCAGACAGGTTCAGGAGCTGTGAGTCAGAGTGAGGAAGGCTTTCCTGGCTGTGCCCCGGGGCCAGCAGGGTCCCAGCCCAGCCCCAGCCGCTGCCCCGTGCCCGAGGCCTCGTTCTGACGGATCACTGTGCTCGTGTTTGGTTTATTGTGCTGACAGTTACATGCCACTGTGCCCGTAATAACAATTTTTCTTCTTTGTTCAATGAAATTTCTAATTACACGTGTGATGGGTTGTTTTAATTCTTTTCCCTTTCCAAATCCACCTTCCTGTTGCAATGCATGATGAGCAGGCTCAATATTGTGCATGACACCCGCTACAAGTGTTGGTAGGTGCCAGCTTTGTTTCTTGATTATCTTAAACCTGTGGTGCAGCTCACAGACCCTCAAAATCCACTGCTAGAGTTAATGTACAGCCCTCGTGCCAGTCCATCTCCCCGAGCCTCCTGCACTAACACCTGTCAATTAAATGTGATTGTTTTATTTAATTGACACGGACACGTAGACGTTAATTTTGTACAGCAGTTTTTAACTGCACATTGTTCCTTGGTGGATTTTGACTGGACTATGAGTTCCAGTGTTTAGAAACTATCTTGTGTTAACTAAAGACTGTATCTTACCATAGCCATGTAGCTGTATTCTGTCCTTCTATGAGATTAATTTCTGTTAGCAGTAAATATTTGGGTTGAATTTCTAAAAGACAAAAATTTGTAAATATAAGGGCATTGAAAAAACTCTTGTTTTTCATATTGAAATGGTTAAGCTTGTTTGTGTCGATTTCCTTGATTTGATGGTAACGAGCATTTTCCCCTTTTTTTTCTCTTTCATCTCCCTCCCCTCCCTCCTGGAATGTTGTCCTGCTTTGCACTGTGGTTGCATGTCACGCGCTGCCAATGATGTCTCGGGCTTTTTGCTGTGGTCAACCATGCTCAATGACTCCCACGTGTCGCTCTGGTCCCATACTGCTACACTCTTCTGTATGTTTGCTTATTTGATTTTCCTTCCGAAAGTTCCCATGGTGCACGGTGCTACGCCAGCCACTGTGTCTGCAGCAACAACATCTGCCACAAGTGTTCCCTTCGCTGCAACAGCCACAGCCAACCAGGTTTGCTAATTTACAGCTTTGTTCCTTACAGACAACTCGAAGTCGGTGCTTTAATGAGCATGGGGGTTTGGATCTGACCTCTTGTTGGCCTACACATTCTCTCAGAGAGCTGCAGCACAGCTTAATCAGCCCTTAGCTGTGCTCCAAAGGTGCTGCAGTTCCATTTCTGATGCTAAAAATAATTGACAATAGAGTTTCTGACTCAGTCTTGACATTTATGGGCCATGCTGCTTATTTCTGTTCTCAGGGATGCAAAGAGCAAGGGATAATACACAAACCCGTGATTTATTTCCCTTTCTGTGGAGCCAACAGCTCCTTTCAGTGCAGAACTCAGGGAAAGCCAGGGGAGTCTTTGTGCAGAGGGGTTGCAGGTTCTTACAGTCTGAGCTTAGCAGTCCAAACATGTTCTGACTCTCCTCTTCCAAGTGTAAAACAAAACCCTGTGAGCATGGGCCACACTGAAACTTCCTTGAAGCCTTTGTTGCTGCCTTGTGATTCTCCTTGGAATGGCCCATTGCTTTGAACAGAGCTCAGATAAGAAAATGCCCATTGGAGTCTGGGTTTATTTCTCAATAGCCACCCCAGTCATTGCCGTGTTTGGATGTATTTCAGGAGTATGAGAGTAATGCTTTACCACGTAAGTGATTAGAAGTCCTGCCAGGAAAGCCAGAACCAGTGCTCTAAAGATGAGTCCCTGGGCCAAAGGAGTGGCTGGAGCTGCACCTGAGCACAGGACGCTGTCAGAAAAGCAGATTTCTGTACAACATCTGGCTGAAAGTGCAACAATAAAAACGTTTTAAAGAGCCTCCTGTTCCTCTTCTAAAAGCTAATTCCTTTTTGAGATTTACTGGGCAGTTGTTCATGCCAGGAAGCTCTCAGTTCTGGTCTGATGTGCAGGTCTTGCTTGCAGCTCAGTGGGATCACAGGTGTGTCCCTCACAAAAGGGAGCTCCAGGTTCTCCTCAGCGTTGTGCAGGTGTGCTCCTGTGCAGGTAAATGTCAGTGTTAAGGCAGGCTTACCTGAAGCACTCGGCTCCTGGCTCAGGACAGGTGGCTCCTCAGCACACCCAGAGCTGCAGGGTGAGCCCCAGGCCCTCTGGCTTTGAGCCTTTGCACCTTTACCTGTTGAGCACTACCATTTTGTGCTGCCCCAGCTGTACATCCCTCGTTAACCTGTCTGCTTCCTCATCTCTCAAAAATACAATTCCCAAATGGCATCACTGCAGTGACACCTGGGCGTGCACATCCCAAGCCTCCAAAGGGAACTGGATGTTGTAGAATGCCAAAAACAGCCCAGGTTAGTCTGCTCAGCAGCCAGCACGTTCTTCTCTTGAGAAATGTTTGCTGAATGAACGGCTCACTCAGAGCTTTAAACTTGGCCTGAGAATTTGTGTTTTGAAAAGCTAGTTCATAGGTGGGGCCACCTCTGCATATGTGCCACCTCAGCAACCTCCTGTATGCCCAAAGCCTCTTAATATTGTAGTTTATTGCACCAGGCAGTTCCTTTCAGTGGGTCTCTGTATCCTGTGCATGTCCTGAGGGTTGTGAGAACAAGACGAGCCACAGAAAAAGTCATTATTTTTAAATCCCCTCTCTGTTAGTAACCACACACTTCCCAGGGAGATCACAGGGAAAACCTTCTGCTGTAGAATCCGGTCATTTCATGCCTTTCCTCCCCAGAGCCTCATAACACACTTAGTGCAGTTCTGCAGCCAAACCTCCATATATACATATATACCCATATATGTATATACCATGTGAGCAATGCTGAAGGTATTTAATGCCACCCAATGCCGTGTGCCTGCATGCCAAAGGCTAAAGATGTGGCCCTTCATCTTCCCGGGCTGGTGTGGAAGGTCCTTGCTCTGGTCGACAGCACTGCCCCTGATGCTGCTCCGCTCGGGTGCCGCAGCCTGTCCTGCAGCAGCAGGAAAACATGGTATGAGAAGCTTCATTCTGCTCCGAGCCCGTTTCTGTGGAGTTGCCGATGCTGTGGTGTGTGAGCTGCCAGGGGAGGAGAGGGCACACGGGTGGAAAACAGCAGCAGGACCTGCCAATGAGTTAGCTGAGAAGAAACCCCCCTTCTCTTTACTGGGCAGATGCACAGGCCAGCCGTGGTGCCCATCAGGGAAAAGGGTCTTTCCAAGTGCCATTTGGGATGGTGCAAATCCACGTTGTGTCCTGGGCCCCAGCACAGTTCCCTGTGCCTGAGCACGTCTGCTCCCCTGCCACCGTGACCCACGGCCGGGGCGCAGGGTCACCTGCCAGTGGCACTGCTGGCAGTGGGCTCCGTGGAATCCTGCTTTGTTAGACAGGACACTTGAGGGGAGCCACGTGCTCGGTCCTCTTTGTGCAGCCGAGCACTTTGGGGGGTGTTTCCCTGCCTGGGGAGGCTTTGCTTGCCGGCTGCTCCGCGCGGTGCCGCAGCTGCTGCGGGAGGGGCAGAGCTCCTCTGAGCCGGGCATTTTCACCAGCCATGAAGATCAAGCTCAGGGCACCCTAGGTTTGGCGTTCAAAACCCAGGACAGTGACAGCAGTGAGCACTTCACAAAATCACACTGAAATGAGGCCACTGTAGAATTCACCATCTGAGACACTGAAAGCACAGAATTTTGTGTAGGCCAACAAAAAGGGCTATTTTCAATTACTGCACTGCATGACTTGTAGATGTTAACTTCTCCTATTTCCTGAACAACCAATACTACTTATTTATATTTGTCCAGTAGTACTTAACCCAGTGTTTTCCAGTTAGAAGTTGCTACTGTAGCACTTCAGTTGACTTTAACTTATAGTTACGATATAAAATCCACCGACTCACAGCTGATCCTCCCTTTCCCAAACTGATGTTCTGTAGCAAATGCTGTGCCTCTGGGTGGGCTCGTTGCACCTATCACTCACTGTTTACATTTCTTACCTGTAGATACCCATAATATCTGCCGAACATCTGACTAGCCACAAGTATGTTACACAGATGTAGACATTTGGTCATCAAACAGTAAGTTCCCAGTGTGTTGTTGCTGTATTTTTTCTTATTCTTGTGTGTGCAATTTGTTGCTGTAAGGGACAGAATGTTTTTATCTTCTTTCTAAGAAAGGCAGTAAGCTCTGCGGGGCGGAGGCTCTGACCTCCCTGAGGGGCCATTCCTCTCTGAGGGGAGATCCCACGGGTACCCCCACATCATGTGTTAGTTTGTACATGCCCACCCAGCAAAATCAGGGTTCACCGAGGTTCATTTTCTGTCTGTGGTGGCCTCAGAACTGACCTGAGCTGAGGGCAGACTTGGGGGAAGATGATTCCATCAGGTTCTCTTCAAAAAGAATGGCTTTTAAATCTCAACATTTGGAACCCCAGCATTTTCCTGGGAAACTCATTTTCCTCCTGTTGTTGTGGGATTCCCCTCCTCCTTTGTGTTACCTTCCTCCCTTCTGTGCTCCATTTCTGCTCGTTTTTATTGAATTCCTTGGCCATAATGGAATTATTTCTGCAGCCATCCTGTCCCAGGACGGCTCCTCCTTTGTATTACCTTCCTCCCTTCTGTGCTCCATTTCTGCTCGTTTTTAT